GAATATGAATATTTTTTAAAAGTATTTGGGGCAATTCGGAAAATTAGACGAAACGCACTTTCACTTATCGAACTGAACGGTTTTATCGTTTTTGAATTTGTCCTGAAATACTGATAAAAAACTACTGACATAGATGCCGGACAGTTTGGATTTTTCAATATCAAATTCTCCAGGGATCGCTCCACAACAGAAGTGGAGATCGAAAGATAAGGAAAACTAATTCAGTCAACCTTATACGCACAGAAGGTCCAGTTCCAAGAGGAATAAGTACACCATGAACACTTTGAACTACTACCGTCGTGTAAAGCTGACATCGGCCAGTTATAAAAAAGGCAAACAGAGGGGGGAGGCCAAAAAAAAAGAACCCCCCTTATGATGAAGGTATTAGGAATAAAACGCCCTTTCACCACTAGGTTAAGAAGTGTAGCATTTGTCCTTTTTCACAAGCGGACAATGTCTACTTTACACATACTGTATAACACCTACCAAAACTCAACATTTTTGTTTTGGTCCATGTTTTTTTCAAGCACGCGGTCATGACAAAGTCACAAGATATGCATGACCGTAAGAAAGAGAGAGACGGGCGTAACGACGTGTACCGCATCAGTAAAGGATCGAGACAAAATATTCGCCTCTTGTTTTGGGAAACCTTTCAATACATTTCTTATGGGTTATACATTCTGCCCTGATTAAGTGACGTCAGACCTATTTTAGACTGAGCCCAGAAGCTTTGTATTTGTAATCTCCGAAAAAATTCAACAGCATTCCCTTTTGGGTTACTTTTTCTATCTAGGGGAGAGGGAGGAAAAAGGCACCCGTAAGGGATAAAATTAATTTAAATTAAAAAATTCTGTTAGCGTCCACTTTAGGAAAAATATGTTGAATTTAATGTAAATATACACATGCTACAGAAAAAAAATTAAAATAAGAACCGTTGCTTATGGACCATTTTACCTGCATTTGAAGGCATAATGGTATCTAGGTGAAGGCAAAATGAACGGAACCAAGAAGTTTGAATATATTTAAAAAAAAATCTACAGGCTACAGCTTAGGCTACACAAGCTAAACATTAACAAAAACTGAGCTATTCTAGCGAATTGTTATAATTCTATAACAGCAAATAGGGAACATCAACAGGAGTAATAAACAAACTATCCCACACACTGTTCACATATAAACACTGCCTCGTCATCCTCATCCTCCACCCCCGCGCAAGAACAATGAGCCCACTGAGCACATTTGGTGCACTGGATCCACCCTTCTGTAGATTGGGAATACAGATAATGGCAGTATAAACATTCTGCGTCCTCTCCCTCATCAGCTGACTTCTTACTTGCCGAATCATCAAAAAACTTTTTTTAACTTGGCTTGCATTAACTTGTGCAGCTTCTAGCTCCTTTAGGAATGGTGATGAAGTAATAATTGCTGTTTTACCCCTCCTTCTTTTAACCCTTTTTGTTTGATTTGCCTTTGGCATTGGCATAATTTGTGTGGGTGACACTATAAAGCTATTATTTAAAGAATCTGATTTAGGAGGAACAAGTAATCGAGCAAGTGGCACGTTATCATCAGAATCATTATCCTCATTCTGTAAAGTGTCTTTTTCTACATCTATAGGTAAAGATTTAGAACAGCATGGTTGAGGATCTTGGATATTTTCTGATGATTTCTCGATTGATTCAATGGTTTCTTCAATGCTTGTGGTATCTGCTGCTATAAAGTCCGTTTCGGTAAACACATCTGCGTCAGGTGGCCATATGCCTGTTTTGCGAAAAGCATTGTGCGCAGTAGGAATAGTGGCCGTCTTTTCAAATGCTTTGCCAACTAATTCTGAAATTTGAAATTGGGTTATTATTCGACCAGGATGTGTTCTTAACCACTGTTTTGCAACATCCGAATAATAGGCAGATAACGGTTTCATAAAAGCCACGTCTAGAGGCTGCAGTCGATGTGTACAGTGAGGTGGAAATGAAATAATATGCACACCATTCTCTCGAGCTAAATTAATAAGCTGTAAGTTTTTTTGTGTGGCTTGCATGACCGTCTAGTAAGAGCAACACGGGATTATCTATAGAAGCCCTGGAAAATACAATAAACTTCTGAAACCACTTAGTTAAAAATTTCCTTTTGAATCCAGCCACTCTCATGGCATTCCGTCCAAGATCCTCGCGGAGCATTATTAGTTGTTAGGCCAATCCTTAGTTGTAAGGCCAAAGAAACGTGCCTCCATATATTTAATATAACCAGCTAGTTCTGTTTCCTGGTCTTTAGTAAATATGGTAATGAATCTTCCCATTTTTCGCTTAGTAGCATCATCAAGATTGTTGGTCTTCGTGAACAATTCAATTCCACGCTTTAATGTTGTCTGTATGTTGTAATGTTGTATGTGAGTCCCATAACTTTATTGGAAACCATTTGAATTGCTTCCTTCACACATGTTGTCGACCATGTTTGTCTACTTGTTTTTCATTTATAGTTACTGACCATCTGAAAACACGCCTATTTTAAAAATATTTCAGAAAGGGAAAATAAAAAATGAAGGCAAAATGGCCCGGCCGTTCCGTTTTGCCCGGTCCATTTTGCCTTTTGGTAGCATAGAACCAAACGTAAAATCTGTGAGGTGAGAGAAAACAACAAAACTATATTTGTGTAGCCAAATTATCACTAATGTAAAATACAGTGCTGATAACATATACGATTATATAACAAGAAACTGTAGCATGCATAAAATGCGTCAATTTTAACATCCAAGATTAATAAAAAAAATACTTACCGTGATAAAAAGTGTATACCAAGGCTTGGCGGTAAACGATCAACTGTCCCTAGGAGATTACTTAGCGCATAGTCCGCTTACAATGTTACCGAATAGATGGCGCTACAAGCATAGAATATATTTAATTGGTCCGTTATGCCTTCAGGGTCCGTTATGCCTTCGGTTCCCCTACCTGCTAAAAAAGCTTTACCATGATTTTTTTATTTTTTCAGGTGTATTTTTCCCCATCAACTGGCATGTTAATACATATCTTATACTTCATAACCTATCCCACATTCATAGGTCAAAAAATTAGCGCGGGCTTTAGGTACTTAAGTACTTTACCAAAGTCGAGCATTGCGTACTTCAAGTGGAAGCGTTCTCTCCAATTCCCCCAGGGGTTGATGGAGTCTCTTGCTCGTATTACGACCCTCACGTAATTCCGTCGCGTCTGTGTAGACCCGAAGGGCCATCATGTATCGTGTTACAAAAGGGCGTGTCGCCTCTAAAACTGCTACAGGATCCTCTCGGCCATCCGTAGCGCCTCCGTGTGAACCTGTCAAATCTGGTCCGGTCGGCGGCAGGCGCACTAAATCAAAACGTCACTTTAGCGCTGCGTAGCATTCCACATTCCGTAAGGTGTCAAAACTCGATGGTTTAATTGACAGGGCGTGACGTTCGGACACCTCAGAGAAATTGGCCAATTATTTCGTTTAATTTTGGGACTTCGAGTTGGAATGTGACCGTTTAAATATGTATTTGAAATGGGTGGAAGGGTGGCCGAGGAAGTCATTAGGGCAGTCACACGTACAAGGACGGTTATAAATGTTTATAACCAACATTTTGGCTCTGATGAAATTTTAGAACCGTTTGCTATTCACGCTAGAAACAGCAAAATGTATCGCAGTTTTTAAATAGGTACTAAAATCGCCAAAAATACACAAAATTAAATTTGAATTGATATAATTAGAAGCAGATATTTCCCACTACCTATAAAGGCCTAGTTTTATCCATAACGTAAACTGAACTAATCAGACTTAAACTAATCTAACGTAAACTTGTAGTAGGAACTTTTCACAAGACATTGACAAGACAAGACAATAGAATATTTTTTCCAAATTATGTAGTAACCTTTCTATTTATAGCGCATGCGTTAATAACAATCAAGCCGTGTAAAAGTTACGTTAGACAACCTGGCCACGAAAAGTTACCACTAACAATAAGTAGGTATTAATTTAACCGATTTTGTTGTGATTTATTTATTCAAAATAACAAGTCAATATTGATCCAATTGTTAAAGCCGTCATGAAATAATGGTAGGTAATTAAAAAAATATTGTTGGGTTAACTTTGGAGGTTTATAACTTAATAAGTGAAAAGTTTGTACTGGGGGTTTCCGCAGTTCTTATTAATTTTATATCCGCTTCAAATTTTGCATACCACATAAAAATGTAAATCTGAATTTTTGAAATAACTTTTTTATACCCTCAGCTAGTAATTATTGGCTAGTATTAACCAGTTACCTGTCAATATAAAAAAGCCACAACATATAACATATTTAAAAGTGAGTTAAAGAAATATTTAAGTAAGAACGGATTTTACACATTAACTGAATTTTATGACAATAAAATAAATAATGTAAACTAAATTAACTGTGATATTATATTCTATGTACCCTTTGTTATTATTACTATTTCTAAATTATTGTTTACTATTTTATCTATGGTATGATAATAAAACAAATGTGGACTAAATTATCTGTGATATATTTTATGTACTTGATATAATTTATATTCTTATACTATTGTATACTATTTTATCTATGTTGTTTTGTATGACGTATCCTATATACAGTGTATGTATCAAAAAGGAAATAATAAAATATTATTATTATTATTATAATTGTTTAGCATCATGTCACTATAACATTATTATAGTTATGTAATACTTGTTATTTTTATTTTGACATCCATGTTCGGAGATAAAGTATCTAATGCAAAAACATTTAAAATAGTTATTACCTGAACGTAATATATTCTGAGCAGTTGAGTTTTAAAAAATATAAAAAAAAATCCATCTATTGGTCGGTCTGCCTGTCTGTTCAAATTTCACCTGTGGTATACCCACACATAAAATCTATATAATCGTATACACCATAGTGAGGTCTGAGAGCTTATATTTCGAGGTTAATCAGTTGAGGAGTTTGAGAGTAGATAATCGAGAGTAATATAGCTGAGAGAGATAGAGAGGCCGCGGCGATAGCTCAGCGGGTAAAGCGCCAATAATAAGTTCAATAAAAATCTTTTTATGTATGTATGTATGTATGTATATAAGAAGATGGCGATTTCTCCGAGAACTATTATCTGCGCGGGTTCGAATCCTGCCTGTGGCAATTGGCACCTGTCACACAATCGTAATGATTCCTAGAGGGAGAATGTCAATTTCTGTGGTGTGGTTTAATAAACTTTTTCTTAGGTATACTAATTCCTCGACGCTTTGAGATACCTATTGTTACTGTTAATTATAAATTTCGTACGGCCATACACCACAAAAAAATGTATAAGTAGCTGAGTTTCTAGTGGAAACTGACGGGGGTAATTTAGAAAAATAAGCCAAATAATATTTAACCTAGATACATGTAGAAAAATCAGATGTGGAAGTAATCATTTCTCAGGCAGCGCCTGTTATTTATTGCTCTTAAATGTCCTGCGTGACACTTGGAACTCTTATTAGTACATACCTAATATGGTTTCTTCATTCATTTTTTCGGTCTTGCTATTCACTGGATTTTAATGCTGTTCTAAGGCATCTTGAAAAAAAGTGACGAAATCAACAAAAAGAAAAAGTGAAAGGAAAAATGCGGAGCAGCCCTTCGTACGATCCAAGAGGCCAAAGAGGGTGACCTTCTGTACTTCTGTATCGAGCGATAGTAGGCCGGGCAAGCGCTACGTTGCCTGGTTACGATGTCGTCAAGGCCTACACCGGAACGGTACAGATGAATACTGACCCACCTGTACAGCTTGATTGATTGTCCTTACAAGGCTGGAGAAAATTTAACTCGCACCTTTCATTATATTTCCTTTTTTGCGAGTGAATTTCCCCCGGGCGAGGTTAAAGGGGCATTTCAGAAGATAACGTTTCGAGGGATCGGTCTCTATGCAAATGATGGTCCGAACTTCAAGCATAGCTATTAGTTTAAACTCATAACAGTCATAACATAACTAATTTATGCAGATATCAATGCACTGTAATGAAAATTGGTTGATCCTGAACACTAATTTTTTATAATTAGAGACGTGCAGTTCACCCTCAGACCTTCTAACGGGGTTAGAATTATTCCATGAGTATACCAGCTATTTCTTAAGTAATCTGAAAAACTGAAGGAGATACTTCTTCAGTTCATGAAAAAAAGTTCATATACATTCTTTTTTTCTAAGTGGTTTAGATACAGAGCGTTAAAACTTTATCGTTTTTAATTTGTTTTTTGAATATATCTATATTTTGAGTATATTAAAATTTTATCTTTAAATTGCTGTCTCTTAGACACCATGAGAAGATGCGTGTTGTTAACTAATTTTGGTGACAGAGTGAAGCAGAAGTATTTCTGATCAAACAAACTCAATCCTTTGGCCACATTTTGTCAAAATTTTACATGATTATAAATTTTGCTTATATATAATATGTCGTTTTCTACTTAAACGACATCTTATATAAAAATATATCAATTGAAGTTTTTTGTTAAGCACTAAATGAAGATTTAAAAAATGTATCAAAAAACCAGTGGGTCAGTGGCATACATATTTTTTTCATAACTATTGACTACCCACATGCATGCCCCTGATAGTTCTGTAAAAAATCACAGAAAAGAATTGCCTTCTATTACAGTGTGTAAGTAACAAATTAAAAAAAGAAAATTTTAGTCGACTACAGATTTTTGAAAACAAAAAACAAAAAAAAAATCATTGACGTTATGTATCTCAAAAACTAAAACACTTGGGAAAACATTTTATATGACATCGTGATATAATTTGAGAAAGTATCTACCTCAGCCTGTAGACCATGCAGTTATTTATGAAGTGATGAAGCTTACCTATATACATATATCTTTTCGTACCTAATGTGAAAAATGTGAAAAACGTACCTTTGCGTGGCCTGCGCAAAAGTTTCATTTATTGAGAAGCGTTCTACAATACACAAAGGAATTCACATAGCCACATTGCTTGTTCTGATGTTAAAATGCATAACAAAACATTTTCCACTTTATTGCGTTGTTTCATCCACAATTACCCACAGTTGTTTGTCCTTAGGTCTGATCATACGTCCTATTCAATGTGTTGCTTTAAACGAATAAGTTTATATGCCAAGTCGTGTATCAAGTATGCAGGTAAGCATTTTTTTTTGGACTCAACGCGCGTTTTAACAACTGTATTGGCATAATCAGGAGATGGTTAGAACTGAACGGTTTTAATCATCTCCTGATGGTTGGCATCTCCATGGTGTCGACGACAAAGGTGATTGATGGTTGACAACAAAGTGTGTCGGTGTTAAGTGATGAAAAGTGTTCAACTGTGAATTTGTTTCTACGCCGAAGGTCCAAATCTCCTTCTGTAAATGAATTTTTGTTAGAAAATATATTAGTATCATTATTACACCGATAAAAAAACATGTATGTAACATGTAATGTAACGTGTAATTTCAAACAGAAGCGTACCCAGAAATTTTGCCTGGGGGGTCGAGTTATATGCAATTATCGCATGATGAGAGGGGGACACAAAAGCTACTACTTTTTTATTTTTAGTAGAGACCGAGCCCACTGAGGAAAGGACGGGCTTTTTATATTCAAAACGCACTTATTTGCACTTGTTATTTCGAAAATGATAAATTAATAAAGTTTTTACTGTCGCCCGGTTTTAGCCTGTCGCCATCGACACGGAGAAAGTTTATCAAACTTTTCTCATTTAAGAGTTGTAAAATTCCAGTGGAATTTTCTTTTTGCCGTTGACTTCAATGAGACAAAACAATTTCTTGGGAGCTCTCTCCGAGATCAAAGAGTCATTCTGACCTTTTTACATCTTTTTGATCAGATTTTTTTACGCTGTATTAAAAAATAATGCTGCGAAGGAAAAGAGAAAAAAGTGTTTATAATCGTGTGTACTCCCACGCATAAATTCACGGTCTCAATCGTTTTATTGACAAGTTGCGAAGTATTTATGTGCGTCATTTGGTAACGGAATTCAGTGCGACGAGGATGAAATCATTGTAATGCGAATAGGTAGGGAAAGGATGGGACGGTTCATACACAGGGTCGAACTCAGCTCAATTAAGTTTAAACAGTTCACCAGAAAGTAGCTGTTGTTACTTACAATATTCAAGCAAGTAGGTACCTCATTCGTTTCACTGCTCCATAGTTTCCAATATTATGGGATATATTACCTATTACGCATTCACAATTTAGTGCCGATATCTAACATGCAACGGTTTGGCCTACACATGTATTTTACACATGGCTTGTTCATTGTATAACCACTGTTGTTGTTTTATTTGAACAAATACATAGGAGATATTGTATTTTCAGATGTTGTGTACCTACCTACTACCGCGTAGAGGCTATTACCATGTTTTCTCCAGCTGTAGAATCCCGGCGCAGAAGTCTGTTTCATTTAGGTATATCAAAATTTCTTAATTTAGGAATGATAAAACTTGTCCCATTAATTCACACTCGCTTTTGACGCATGAAGAAAGGCTTCGATAAAGAATTGCATGGTATCTTGGAACTTCACATTCCCATATTCTACGAATTCACATAACCAGTGAGATGAAACCATACTCCATCAAATAAGAAAATTTTGTCCAGGTTGTTATAACGAAAATTATTTAAAAATCACTTACAAAACGAGGGTAATCGTCTTCTCGAAGTTACAAGTTAAACGGTAAGGACACAAGTCCTTTCTTTTAAGTATGGCATGTACCAACAGACACATCAGTTAGCTAAGAAAGAACACGTATAGAAGTTTTAGGAGCATCTTACTTAACTTGAAGCACATTTTCTTATAGTTGCTCCGATTGTGCTATAAGACGAGACCTTTCTTTCGTTCTACACTTAGTTCATAGTATTCGAGATAATATTATTCTGTCCATTGTCCTTCAACTTTCCGTCCGTTCCTGAAATAGGGTTCTACCATAAATGTTTTTTGATGTTGTGCAAACATCATTTTAAGGATTTTTTTCATAGAATCTATACAATCGGTTTTGGTTTAGAACTTGATCTTTGACAATTTGAAAGTTGTCAAGCGCCAGATCGCAAAACAACAATTGTATTGTGGTTTTGAATATCTCATCTGAGGTCAAATTTTGTTGAACGCATTCATCGCATGTTACATACAAATATTTATATTTGCCATTCTATATGACTTATTTTACAAACTTGAGTGCCCATTGCCTTAACCAATTAAGGAGGGCAAACCCTTTACAATTTTCAAAAAAATCGCTTTTTTTTCTTATTTCGTCAATAAGTACAATATATTGAGAGTAATTAATTGGAAAGAGGAAAAATCTAAGTATTGAATATTTATGGAGTTATCGCACATATTTGAGAGCGCTGGGGCTCTACCTCATACTACATACCGTAAACTAGCGAGTCAGGTAGCCGGAGCACTTGGGGGTGGAGTAACATTTCTTTCATAATACCTTTTGTGAAGAAAACAAACTCTTCGAGGAGGCTGAAGGTTTATTATATGCACCTAGAATCGGTGATTGATCGGTAAGTCACTAAAACTAATAGTTTTAATGTATTGGAACTTTGAACGCGATTATCTCGGAACTGTATTTTCAAAAACTGCTCGTGCTGTAACTCAAAAAGTTATTGATCGATTTGGCTGAAATTTTGAGAGATTTTGTTGTCTATACTATTATCGGAAGGATGCACCTAAAATTTTAAATCTATCACGTAATTACATTACTTTTTTTGGGATAAAAATTGGCGAAAAAATAGTCGAAATCTTGAACATTTAATTAAACAGCCTGATTTTATACTTTTTTATAATTCTACAGGTTTATCCTTCCCCTGCACATGTCAGTCACTAAAAAATTTGTTTTTTTGGTTTCCGATCAATAGAAAAATTATGACAAATGCAGCACTTTTGTTTAAAAAAAGGAAACAATGTTTTTCTACTCTTCAAAGTTGTAATAAAATAATGTTAAATCTTTAAAATAATGTGATTACTTTACCACCTTTAAAAATAAATAAATAAATAGATTCATAAAAAATGACTCATTTTCGGGCGTCTAAAGGATTTTCCCCCATTAAGCACTAAATTCAGAAGTTTCCTCATTTTGACATAGTAATTAGCATAAATATGTTATATCAATGTAATACTTGAGCCTTTTGAAATT